TAAGAGTAAAATTTTAAAAAGCTGTTATTAGAGAAAATGCATGTTAACAGATTTTATCTTCCGCTCTTAAGTCTGCAGAATTCTATGACACGTTTAGATAGACCCTTTGAAGTTCTTTCCTCACTTTTCTAATTTTAGAAACTTTATACCAGAGCCGCAAGGCAAGGGAAGAATTGATTAGATTGAAATACTTTCTCTTTCCCAAACAAATATTCTTCTCTAAATTTTATTTAGAATTTGAAATTGGCTTACAACTTTGGAAAATTGTGTCTCGTTGCAATTTTAACGATTCTGCTATTCATCATGAATAAATAAATAAAAGAAGAAAAGTGAAAATTTTGCAAAAGGGTTAAATGGAACTATTGAATTTAAATTGTAAGGTTTATTTAATTGAAATACTGCGAATCTATAGGAAAAGCTTATTGAAAGATTATTAATAATAAAGATAAATACCATATGATGAGCAAGCAAAACAACTAGAAAAAACAGAAAATGACGAGACAAAACTTTCTTACACTATTTCTCACTTTTCTTATATGATTAAGTTTCTACGTTTACATTATTTATAGTTTATAATGTTCCTTCTCTGTTTACTCAATTACACATCAAAAATTCCAAAAAAATTACCGTACTGAACACTGTAAAAAATTCCAGATCAAATTCCGGTAAAAAGTAAAGGCACTTGGGTGCATCATCGGTAAAATTCATTTTACCCTAAAATCCATTTTTTCTGTAAAATATTGTACCGTGAATTTTACAGTAATATTTATTTTTACTACTGTAATATGATCCAGATTATATACGGTGCATGGCAGTGATATTTCTGGTTTAAAAAAATAACATAATTTTTGTTAATAAACCCGAAATATAAAGTATTTAAGCCATTCATTTGGTAGATTTTCCGTTCATATGGTAAGGGTTAACCTGAAATTCTGTTTTTCAAAATTACAGTTCTTATTACCATAGATTTAGTAAAACATACAAAACTGAAAGTAAATTCAACCAACTGAAAATTTTTGATACCATGCTCTAATATATCATCATAAAATTACCATATTCTGGTAGTTTTGATCATACTTGTTCACAATGTATTTTCCTTAAATTATGAACTATTCTTATCAAGAAACACAACAGCAGAGCAGCAAAAAAAAGGAAAAAATTAAAGCATCTAGATCTATAATATGCTTTACCTTTCAACATATTATAGATCTAGCATATTGTATATATATATATATATATATATATTGCTCTATTTTGCGATTTTTTTCGTGGAACCAAGAACGTTCTGGAAGTTTCTTCGTAAAATAACTTTCAAATAGCGAAGCGAATTTTCTATTTAACGAACTTCTCTTTGAGCTCCACTTTCCCTATTTCCCAAAATATTATAGAACATTTCAAGCTTGTTAATACATTTTATGGGGAAATAACATTGAATTGAGTTTCGAAGTTCCTTAACTTTTGGAGAAACAGTGAAATCCCTTTCCCTTTTTGTTTGCATTTCAAGCGAAAAACTTAGTCAAAATTAACGGGTTTTATCAGTAGCTATTTAACTTAAGAGCACATGTGGTAATGTATGCTTGAAAATACTTTTTTAATAAATGCAGCTATTATTTCATACATAAATTTAGCTTTTTTGTTGTTGAAAATGTATAAAGCATAATAGTATAACACTGGATAATGTTTTGCTCTATTCTTGCTTTCCATGCAGATTTCTTCTATGGTTAAGATTTATTAAATAAATCGTAGATATTAGTTTACAAGACAAAGGTGTATCAATTGCTATTTTAATTATGTCTTGTGTTTATGATTTTAAAACCTGTTTTGTGTTGTTTAAGTATTTCAAAAGGTGATTTTCCATTTAGCGAATTTTCCACATAACGAACTTATTATTGGTATTTAACGTCTTCGATAAATAGAGGTCCGACTGCATATATGAATGAAACCCTATTTTTCTCAATATTTTTCTCCCTCTAATTTCTGTCCCTATTTTTCTCTCTAATGGTCTCTATTTTCTATGCAAACAATTTTTCTCCATTTTATCTGAAATATTTTATACTTAATTAAATAACAGAATTTTTTTTTATTCAACATTTCAAATAACAGAACATAATAGACTTTCAAGACATTATCTTTCCAGATATATCATTAACGTTTGCTCGTTAGTTTAACTGCAGTGAAAAAATAACTATATTTTCAGTAAATAAACATAAATAGTTTGGTAGAACTTCGACAATGTCAAGTTTTTAGTTTCATTTTATTTTTCATCACAAGTATTTTTTCCTCATTTTCTATGAATTTTATTTTTTCGTTTCATTATCTTTTCAGTTTTTCTTTATTTTTATATGTTGTTTATGCGTTACGTATCTGGCCACAAGCAAAGATTATTTTGAATTTCAAATGACTTGTTTACCTTTTTGGAATGTCGCGGGCTATGTTAGAAATAAATTCGGATGCTTCAGTTTCCCCGATTTTAATATGTAAGCTTTCGAAAGCATAAGATTTGTTCGAAGTCCAATATTATGTTTATTAAAATAACGGAACGTGCTTAAGAGTACCTTAAGAAAGTAATTTCGAGTTTTATTTTTAATATTTTTGCTAATGGCAGTTAAGTGTTACAATCTCCAGAAATAAACTATTCAGGAATTATGTTAACCATAACGGACTTATTTAAAAATTTTAATTTTTGCATTTTTTTGATAATTGTATCAAAATTGATGAAAATATCAAAACAGATGAATGGCTTCTATTAATAGCATCTAAAATGTTTTCTAAAATAGTTAATAAATTTTTCTAATAACCATGATAAATATTAATCAATCATTGATCAGCAGTTTTACAGTTTTTTTCAAAAAATTTAAATTTACCAAGATAACCTTTTGAGTTTGTGTGCTTATTAAATGGCAAACATAGAGGAACGAACAAAGAAATGGAATCTTCTTAATTAAAGCAGCTTTAAGTAACTAATTATCGAAGATCATTTTTATAGGCTTTCATTAAAACACTTAAAAGATAGTTTGCGATTGCCAAAATATTAATAAAAATGACAAAATGTCGCTAATAGATTAATATTTCTTAATTATGGCACTTTAAATGTTTACTTAAATAATTTGTAGACTTTTCTAATTACCGTTATGAAAAGTAACTAATTATCAAGAAACATATTTACGGGCTTTTTATACAAATGTACCCAGATAACAATTGAAGTTTGTGGGCTTACAAAATAGATAAAAATGACAAAAGGAGATAAATGGGTTAATAATTCTAAATAGTAATAGCTAAAATATTTATTAAATAACTTCATAAGCTTTTCTTATAACCGCGATAAAGAAAAATTAACTATCAAGTCACAGTTATATTAGAGATAAATGGGGTTAATAATTCTTATTAGTAATAGCTAAAATATGTGTTAAATGATTTCATAAGCTTCTCTTATAACTGCAATAAAGAAAAATTAACTATCAAGTCACAGTTATATTAGAGATAAATGGGGTTAATAATTGTTATTAATAATAGCTAAAATATGTATTAAATGATTTCATAAGCTTCTCTTATAACCGCAATAACGAAAAATTAACTATCAAGTCACAGTTATATCAGAGATAAATGGGGTTGATAATTCTTGTTAATAATAGCTAAAATATGCATTAAAGGATTTCATAATCTACTCTTATAACCGCAATAAAGAAAAATTAACTATCAAGTAACAGTTATGTTAGAGATAAATGTGGTTAATAATTCTTATCAGTAATAGCTAAAATATTTACTAAATAACTTTATAAGCTTCTTTTATAACTGCAATAAGGAATAATTAACTATCAAGCAACAGTTCTAACAGTTTTACAGGTTTTTATAAAGATACCTAGACAACAGTTTGAGTTTGCGTGCTAGCGAAATTGATAAAAATAGATATATCTGCACTCGCTATACTTTTTTTATATATAGATACACCCAGAAAATAGTTTGAATTTGAGTGCTTAAAAATTGATAAAAAAGACAAAAAAGGAAAGAGAGCAATAATATCAGCTGAAACGGTTGCCAAAGAAATTGATAAACTTTTCTTATAACAGCAATCAAGAATTACTAATCATCAAGCAACAGTAGCACAGGCTTTTATCAATATACCTAGAAAATAGTTTGAGTTCGTGTGCTCACAAAATTAAAAAATAAATAAATAAATATTGACAAAAATAAATGAAAGAATCAATCTTCCTACTTATAGCAACTAAACTGTTTATTAAAATAATTCTTCAACCTTTCCTTCAACCACGATAAACAGTAACTAATTATCAAGCAACAGTTTTATTTGTTTTTATAAGTAGATATCCCTAGATAACAGTTTGAGTTTGGGTGCTTACAAAATTGATAAAAGTGACAAAAAGAGATGAATGGATTAATATTTCTTTTTAGTGTGTAGCGAATAATCTTCAAGTGAATAAGCGGTTTGATCTCAGTTGCGTCAGGTCAGGCATCGTTACCATAGCTACAATATGTCGCTCACAACAAAATATTCAAAGCCACGATACTCAATCTAAAAAATCATAACGTCTGAACAATGCTAGCAGTTGACAATGTGATTCAACCAAACATAAAATATTTTTGGAGTTTACGAAATTTAAGTGCTATTTGAGATTTTTTTGAGGTAAATATAGATTTCACTAATACTGTCACTTCGCACACAAAATGACTTTGGATTTTTATTCCTGAACTCATAAAATTGTTGATAAACGCACAATTCACTAATATTGCACATTTTTGTGTTTATATGTGTATCCTCCATTACTTTTTTTACGAATATAGCAACAGAGTTTCACGAATGTTGTTGATATGTAAGAAATGCTTTCGTGTTTTTTAAAACATTTTATCAATTTGAAAAGCATATTATCGTTTAAATTGAAAAACATATTATGAAATTAAATTTAAAAGTATATTATCGTTAAAATTGAAAAGTGTGTTATCGTTTCAATTTTACACGAATATTCAAAGCCACGATACTCAATCTAAAATAATCATAACGTCTGAACAATGCTAGCAGTTGACAATGTTATTCAACCAAACATAGAATATTTTTGGAGTTTACGAAATTTAAGTGCTATTTGAGATTTTTTTGAGGTAAATATAGATTTCACTAACACTGTCATTTCGCACAAAATGACTTTGGATTTTTATTTCTGAATTTATGAAATTGTTGATATACGTACAATTCATTAATATTGCACATTTTTGTGTTTTTATGTCTATCCTCCATAAATTATTTACGAATATAGCAACGGAGTGTCACAAATGTTATTGATATATAAGAAATGGTTTGGTGGTTTTCAAAATATTGTATCAATTTGAAAAGCATATTATCGTTTCAATTGGAAAACATATTATCATTTAAATTTAAAAGTATATTATTGTATAAATTGGAAAGTGTATTATCGTTTCAATTTTACAATCGTCTTTATTCAATGGGTTTTTAAAATTGTTTGAAAGTAATATTTCACCTATACACGACATTTTTTATGTCAATCTTCAATCTTTTTATTTATTTATTTCTTATTTTTATTTTCTTATGGACTTAAAATTATTGTGTCACGTTTGTAATTGATAAGTAAGGGATTTGGAGATTTTTGAAAGCATATTATCGTCTCAATTTCTATATTTTCCAAGCTTTTTATAGTTTTTATTCAACAGATTCATACACAGAGAATATTTTCTCTGTGTATTTAGAATTTAAAGCCATTAGTTTCTCAAGTCAATTATTCAAATTTATTCTTTTGATTAAAAATAAACAGTAGGTATTGAACCTGAAAATGAAAGTAAGTAACAAAATATTTATTTTTAAAGTACTCATCAAACATAATTTTTGATAAATTTTTGAGATTTGTAGCTCTAAATTCAAATAACATAGCAACTCAATATTTTCTCCAAATTTAAAGCTTTAAAGTAAAATAATATTTAAAAAAAGATTTTACATTTGTAATTGAGTATTTTCTTATGTATATAAATTTAGGAATTAAAAATATAAATTCGTATGCAAAATTATAAATAAAATAAATCTTAAAATTTTGGTCGATCCTTAAAATTTTGCAATAACTAAATTATAAGTAAACTATAAAAATGAACTCTAAAATGAACCTTAAAATTTGTTTTATGAATTTGATCTGATGCATGTCCTCTTAAATGATTGAAAGAATCACTTATAAGTAAAACAACAGATACATACTATTCTAAATAAATGTAAATAGCGCAGTTTTCGTAAAAGTAAATGTCAATTCGTTTAAAAAAACAGAATACATTTTAAAATGTGTGTGTTTAAATTAAAAGCATGAATTATTTGCTGCTCCCAATTTGCATTTTTTATTTTATTTTTAAAAACTAAATTTTTTTTACTCATAATTAAAACATGCATAATAATTATTGACAACCCATTAATGGTCGTACTTCATAAATAATGTTTGAATAAAAAAAGCAAACTTTTTTCCTATTAAAACTTTTAAAATTTCAGATACACATTTTTATTATTGTCCTTATTGATAGAGTATATCCCACAGTTTCACAGTCAAATTAAATCTAATGTCATCTTAAATAAGTTATGTGTATAACTCCATCAATAAATTCATCAAGTATTTAAAAAGAGAAAACAATAATTCAATAAAAAATATTGAAGAAATTACACACAATTTTTTTGTGTACTTTATGGTTTCACAATAAAAAGACTAAAAATATTTTCCATTTCTTCCATAAAATTTATTATTACTTTAGTTGTCCTCATCGTTATTATTGTTCATTATAGTTCTATACTCCATAGTTTTGTTGTCAAATAAAACGGATATTAATTTTAATCATGTTGTAATCATATTTCATGAATAGATTTATAAAAAAAACAAAAAAACAAATATAAGTTAATAATTTTATTTCTGAATATTCTAAATTTCTGAATATTTTTTAGAATAATTTACCACAATTAAATTGATTTATTAACTTTTAATTTAAAATTAACAGTTAAATACTTAAAAGCAAGCAGAGTATTTTTTAGGATAAGCATGAGCAGTATTTAGTTCCCGACCATGATTCGTCAAATGTTTTAAAGAGTGAGCTGTGGTGGCTCAAGGTATGAGGTGGCTCAAGAGAGGGCTCGCCTCTCAATGAGATGACCCGGGTCGATCCCAACGATAGGTGATCGATTCGAATTCCGGAATCGACTCGCTCCGTAAAATATCCTCAGCGGTAGACGGATTATGGGTTAGAGTCCCCTTGCAGTCAGGCTAACCATGAGAGGTTTTCGTAGTTTTCCTCTCTATGTAACGAAAATGTGGGTTAGTTCTATAAAAAAGTCTTCCACGAATGCAAATGTCTCCCATTACTTGATCTTGGAGTTCCTTTGTCTTCTGGATTGGATTCAAAATTACATGGCTACGGAGTTGAACATAGGTAGTCGTAAACGCAGAATTGAGCCTACTGTTTAACGCCGGTTATAAAATAACATAATAAAATAAAATGATTTAAGGACAAACTAATATTTAAATTATAATAATTAAATAATTCACCAGCTATGTAAAATAATCATAAAGACTATACTAAGCAATAAATTTAATTGTTTAATATCTACCCGGAGAAATTTTTTTTGTAAAATTACCGTAATCTATGGGACTAGCACTTCTGGTAAGAAAACCATAATTCTGATAATAAAATTCATAATTTATGGTATTTAAACCATTCAATTAGTAATTGTTACATTCATATACTAATGATTTACTGGGAATTCTGGTTTTCAGAATTATAATTTTTATTTCCACACAGTTTGTAAAAAACACAAAACTGAAAAGTAAATTTATCAGAATAAATGGCCATGCTCTAAAGTGTCATTATAAAGTTACCAAATTTACCATATTGACCAAATTTGATTACATATTACACTAACTTCGTGAAATTTATTCCAAAACTAACTCTTTTAAATACCTAAAAGAATAAGTTTTGTAGAGATAAACTATAAACATTATTGTTAACAACATGCCTCTTACGTTGAAACAAGTAGAATTCTTAGAATAACGATAAAAATGAAGTTCATCTTAGATATTTTATCGATATTACTTCTAATGATAATTCCTTGATCTTAATATTTAGGTCATTACTCCAACCGAATTCTTCATTTTTTTAGAACATATTTATTCAGTTTTGAAAGAAGTCGCATCAAAAGTTATAGATAACGATTCAAAACCTTTCTTTGAAAAGCGCATTTATCAAAAATATCTTTACATAAAGGTAAACAATGTTTTAAAATGAAATATGAAGAGATGTATTGAATAAAATCAAACTTTAGTATAATTTGAAGCAATATCTAATATTCTTTGTAAACAAAATATCTGATTAATGTTTATTTTCTAACTATATTTTTATTGGAGAATTTAAATTGAATATTTTAATTTACTTATATTTCAAAAGTATGCGCTCAGTGATTTATTTATCTTAGAGCCAACTATAAAAAACCATTAAAAGTAATAGATTATTTGTTTTGATGTTTGTTTTCTGAATTAATTTTTAAAAGATACGATTGTACGATATATGTTTGTTTTTAAATATGTTTCCGTTGGGTAAGTTGGGGGGGGGTATTTAATATTTTTCTTATTAAGCTATTTTTAAGAAATATGAATTTTTGTGCTACCTTTAAAATAACAACAAAAAATATCAGTCGAAATAGAAATTACTGTATTGTTTATTTCAAATGAAATTTCAATTTATCACATTTAAAAATTCTTAAACTAAATCAATCCATTCCAGCATTAAATGATTCTGCTTCAATGACGAGGGGAAAAATTGAGTTCAATACTCTCTCAAGGAAATAACAGGGAGCTGTTATGACATGGGCTGTCACATCCGTCACAGCTTCTTTAAAAAACGTATCGACAGACTGGGTGTTTGTTTAGAAAAATGAACAATCGTTCCTCCTTGAAAATAATGCAAAAATTAAAGAAAATAAATGTTATTTTGTATTTTTTTAAGAAATTGGAGACATTATTTTTGAGATATCTCTCGTATTTATAAGAGAAAAAACTTTCAATCGCACACAGTTTCAGTAGAAAAATTTATACTGCAAAATTATCTTGAACATTTTGAAGGGCTATTAGCATAGCTTACATGAACAGTACTTTTCTATATTTTTTAAAGTCAATTTTTTATGTATTAAAATCTAAGGATGGATTTGAAAATTTATTATTTTAATTCTGAGTGGGTAGTAGTTTATAAGTTATTTAGTTAAATGACAAATGTGTTACTATAATGACATTGATTTCATTCTCCTACTCATTTATGTTACGTTATATGTAATTAATTTAGTGATTTTCTGTCGTTCTGTGATCATTCTATTGTTCACTGAAGAAAAAAGTGTAGTCAAAATTACCAGAATATGGTAAAATTTACCATGTTTCTAACTCTATGGGAATACCAAAAAGCACAATAATTTTTACCGAAGTGCTTTGATAATGATTTTAATAAAGTTAACAATAAAATATGGTCTTATGCTACGTAGTAAAATTTGTTAAATATGGTAGTCTTATCATGCTATCTTAGAGCAAGGCATAAAAACCATTTATTCGGTTAAACTTACTTATCAATTTTGTATTTTTGACAAAATGTGTGATGACAAGAACTATAATTTTGAAAATTAGAATTTCGGGTAAATCGTTACTATATGAACATAAAAATTACCAAATGAATGGTTTATATATCGTACATTTCGGTTTTATAACCAAAATTATGTTTTTTTACCAGAAATGTTTTTATTATTCAGCACGATAATTTTACCAGAATATTTTCTCCGTTTTTATACGTTCCCAACTTTTACTGACAAATGTACAAATACTGTTTGATTCAGAATTCTGGTTAAATTTGGTAAATGATTAAAAATTAATCATTCTAACTTACAGGCTTATATAATTTTTAAATCAAAATAGTGAATATAATAAATGAAGACTTTGGTGGTAAAAAATATTAATCCTCAGTTTTTCAGTCAGAAGATAAACGGGTTTATATTTTCGTAAAATATCCTTACCATGACGATTGCCAAATTAATTATAAATTAAATTAATCTTGTATAAAATACATTATAAGTTTCTTATTTATTAGAA